TGGTTTCCCTTTTCTTTGTTGAAGAGGGTCTGTGCAATCCTTCTGCCTAGTCCACCATCTTGCCGGAACTCCTCTTTAAAGTATTAAAAAGCAAAGATGTCACTTTGAGGATGAAGGTACACCTGACTAAGCCATAGTATTTCAATCATCTCTTACGCATGTAAAAGCTGGGTAATGAATAAGGAAGACCGAAGAAGAATTGATGCCGTTGAATTATGGTATTGGTGAAGAATACTGAATATATAAGGGACTACCAGAAGAAAGAACAAATCTATGTAGGAAGTACAACTGAATGTTCCTTAGAAGCAATGATGGCAAGATTTTGTCTCATGGACTGCGGACATATTACTAGGAGAGACCAGTCTCTGGAGACATGCTTGCTAAAGTAAGGGGTCAGTGAAAAAAAAGAAGACTCTCAATGAAATGAATTGACACAGTGGCTACAAAAATGGGCTCAAACATAGCAATGATTTTGAGCATGGTGCAGGACTGGGAAGTGTTTCATTCTGTCGTACACAGGGCTGCTATGAGGTAGAACTGACTTGATGGCACCTAACAATAACTATGTGTACCACTGAATTATCTCCATCATAATTGTTTAATTATATTCAGCTGCAATAACATTACAGTTCCGCACATGGGATCAATCTGCTCCAAATCCACAGAAAGCCCTAAGATGCCTGATGTATTTGACAGAATCAGATTCTGGCTGTCTTCTGTAGATGTGGCTGTGACTCTAGGGTCTGCCAAGGGCTAAGCTCTGCTCAGAGTTTCATCGTGTTCATGAACTGTTGTTCTCAGTACTGTCTAGGAATTAAACATGAGCTCCCCAATCTCTGATGAAGGTCTGAGCAGGCTCCACTGCTGTGACCTAAATTCTCTGGGTCAGAACCAAACCAAGAGAAGGAAGATAATTATATTAATAATTGGTCCCACCCATTGTTGTAAGCTGATGGTTTCTCACCTGGGATGCAGTGAACTCTGACAGGCATGCCACCAAATCTTGATCCCTTTGTAATTTCTTTATTTGACATTTTAAAATTTAGGATTATTTCCTGTTTCAATCATTGACTTTGATAAAGTGAATACTTTATAATACAAATTAAGAATTGTGTTACTGTTTATTTTTTAAAGTACCACACTGACACCAACAAGAAGAAAATAAGTATTCCAACTATCAACCCTCCCCCCCCCAAAAAAAAGAGAAAGAAAACCAGGCTCAAATGTCTTTGTAAAATCTTAAATCATTTAGTTAGCCTTTCTCTGCTTGGTTTCCTTATCTGCTAAATGGGGCAGAGGGTTTCGGAGGGAGGCTAAACCAGTTAAGGGAACTAAAGCTCTTGGTACAGTGCCTGGCAAACACCACGTGCAATCTAAAGTGTTAGCTGCTATCATTGTATAGAACTTTGTAGCAGTATTTGAATAATCATTCCTATGTATGTGTGAGCCAGGTTTATATTATGGTTCCTCAAAGGGGATCTGACAGCCCTAAGAGTCTCATTTTGTGCCAGTAGATGGCATCCTTGGAAGTGTCTGTGCCCAGTGAAAATGAGCCTGAAAATCTTGTCCACTGATAAGCAATTAAATAATGTGCAAAACAGTTTTTGGAACTATGAGGGAAAGGCGAAGGCAAGTTTATGGAACTAGAGAGACATTTGATTTGGAGGCTTTTGTTTTTGCCTGCTCCCTCACCCCCACCTCAGCATGATGAAATCCTAATCCAGCACATAATAAGTGGAGCCTGAATGGCACTGTGCCTTGGGCTGAGAGTTAGAAGACATGGTTTCTACCCCTGGCTCTATCACTAGTAGCTATGGAATCTTGAGCAAATCACAAACTTGCTGAGGATTGATTTCCTCTTCCAAAATGAGGATGCCGGCCCAATCCTCTACAGTACCTTTTCCTTTCCCCAATTATTTTTACCTCTCATTTACTGCCTTCATATGGTGTTTAAAATAAATTGTCCTCTGTTCTGATGGCTTCCACGGGACAATTAGAATTTGCTCCATAAAATCTGCTTTCAAGGTACTTGTATGGAGTAATTTACAAACCGACTCTAATCCAACATTTAATCAAATAATTTAAAGGCCAGATTTACCTTTAGGAGTCATGTTACCATTTTCGTAGAGGGGAGATTCCAAGGAAAACCCATTATTTAGTCATATTCCAGGGTTAGTATTTGATTAATTATGTTTTGGACAGACTTATATGCCATCTGGACAAGTATCATTTTAAATTTCCAACAGTTTATATTTATCTTTAATTTTTTTACCTGGTCCATCAGATTTCTTTTTGACTGGTTCATCCTCTTGGTGTTCCCATTCCACAGGACCTGCCAAGGTGTGTTCAGTAAAAAGGAGTTAAATTTCTTTTAGGTTAAACTGAATGCAACACTATACCAGCTTAAAAGGAATTTTATAATTAAATGTAGGACATTTCACCTATTTTAAGAGGTAAAGTTTTAAGAATTCACAGCTTTCAGATTCTTATTTGCTCCATTCCAGAATAAGAATCATGTGTATCAGAGGTCAGTAAATTACAACCAGGGGCCAATCTAGCCTGCTGCCTATTTTCAGATGGCCTGTAAGTTCATAATGGTTTTCACTTTTTAAATAGTTAGAAAAGAAATCTGAATAATAATAATAATCTGTGCATGTAGAAATTATTTGATATTCAAATTTTAATGTCTATAAATAAAGTTTAATTGGCACACAACCATGCCCATTTTCCTACATATTGCCTATGGCTTCTTTTGTTTACTACAACAGCACAATGAAGTCATTGCAGCAGAGATTACATGGCCTGCAAAGCTTAACATATTTACTATTTGGCTTTTTTCAGAAAACGTTTGCCAACCCTTCATACAAATGATGAAATTTAAATTTTGAGTATCTTCATATAATATTGTTTGAGTTCATCTCACCCTACCCTAAAAGGACATTTTATTTTTCATTTGCTTATGTAAGGTTAAGCTTGCCAGATTTAACAAATAAAAATACAGGGCACCAAATTAAATTTGAATTTCAGATAAACATTAGGCTTTTTTTTTTCTTTATTATTTTTTTTAGTATAAATTTGTCCTATGCAACATGTCCAAATTATATTTAAGCTAAAAAATTATTTGTTGTTTATCCAAAAATTCAAATGTAATTGGGCATATTGCATTTTTTCTGGTAACTCTGTCTATTACCATTCACGATCTTACATGATCTAACTCCAATTAATCTTCCCAAACTTATTTTCCATTTTTCTTGCTTTCTATACTACCCTGTTTCATACCTTGTGCTGAACAGCTAAATTGACCTTCCCTTGATTTTTCATGCATGCCCTTGCTTTCGCCTGCCAGCAAGTAAGGCGCTATTGAACATCCTCCCTCCCTCCAATAAACAAAATAAAACACTGCCCTCAAGCTGATTCTCACTCATAATAACTCTACAGGACAAAGTAGAGCTGCCCCATAGGTTTTCCAAGGCAGTAAATCTTTATGCAAGCAGACTGCCACACCTTTCTCCCACAGAGTGGCTGGTGGGTTCAAAGTTAGCAGCTAAATTTAAAAAAAAAAAACAGCACCACCATTACTCCTAAAGTACTACTGAATTCCAAACCAAACCCACTGCTGTTAATTGATTCTGATTCACAGTGACCCTATGCACCTCCTTTTTCACAAAGCATCCCATGATACTCTTGGCTACAAGTAATCTTTTTTTCCTCTGGTCACACAGTATTTTATCTACACTGATGTTTTTTAATGATATTTTGTCATTTCTATGTCATTAATAAATTTTTTTTCCTATTCATGTCTTCCTTTCTGGTCATGATAAAAAGGTCTAGAATTAGGCTGAATGATATGAATTCCAGATCCACCATTTACTTATAGTTTTGTGACCTTGGGGAAGTTACTTGAGTCACTGGGACAGCATCTCCTCATCTGAACAGTAAGGTTGATGAAACACCCTGGGACTGTTGTAGAGATCAATGAATTAACACATATCAAGCACTTAAAAGAGCACCTAGCATTTTCTAAAGACAGAATCTATGGGCTTCATCTATCTATATGAGACATAGTGGTAAAAGAAATTTATTTCAGGTCCCCCCCAAAAAAAAATCATTGCTGATCACTGACTTTGATTTTTAAGGAAGCAGTGGTGTACCTCCATAAGTTAGAAAGTAATGAGATGTTATCAAGATGACTAAGGGACACATTTTAGAATAGATCAAATAATTTTGGAAGAACTATTGTCTGAAAAAGGCAAAGATAATATTGAAAAAAAAAAAAAAAAAAGGGTAGTGAGGGCAGTTTGTCTTGCCAAATATTAAAATTGGTTCTATAGCTACTAGATTCAAACCAGACAATAGAAGAGTGGGTCAGAATACAGACTAGAAATGTACCTATGAATCAATGGGAGATTAAAGTTGACAAAAGTAGCATCTGAATACAATAATAAAAAAAGGAGGGCTAATGTAATAAATAAACCAAACCAAAAACCAAACCCACTGCCGTGGAGTTGGATCCGACTAATAGCAACCCCTCCTTGGGTTCCTGAGGTGGTATCACTGCGGAAGTAGATTGCCCAACCTTCCTTCTGAGGAGTGGCTGGTGGGTTACCCAACCTTCTTTCCCAGGAGTGGCTGGTGGGTTTGAACTGCCAGCCTTCTGGTTAGCAGTCACATGCCTTAGGCACTATGCCACCGGCGTTTAGGGATAGTATAATTGTCTATCCACCAAAAAGTAAACAAATTTTGATCTCTCTTTCATATCATAATAAAAAATTCAGGATGCACATAAAATTAGAAGAAAATATAGCAAAATATTTGCGTAAAATTCTGGGGAAGGACTTTCTTAAGCAAAATAGAAACATAAAGAGTTCAAAGAGAAATTTAGATGTATTATCAGAAAAAAATCAAAACTTGTTTAGGTAATATCTACCAAAACTAAATCAAAGGATAAATATTGTATTAGGAAAAAAATTGGTAAAACATGAAAAAAGGATAATATCTCTAACATGTACGTAGCTCCTAAATTAATAAGAAAAAGACAAACAACTCAAGAGAATTACATTGTGGAAAAAGTGTTAGAAATATTTAAATCTGAGAATTAGAAATGTAAATTACAAAGATAATACAGAATAAAAATGCTGAGTCTCATAGATTAGGAAAATTCAAACAGAAACAAAAGTCATTTGTCATCCCTCAGATAAACAAAAAAGGAAATTCAGTAGTCTCTTGTATATAAGGTTATAGGAAAATGGACACATCTGTAACTTACTCGTAGGAGTATAAACAACTAAACCTTCTGGGGAAATATCTATTAAAGTAAAAATAGGCACACTCAGTACTCCTACTGTTGATAATCCATTCTATGGAAAGTACATGTTTTCCTGACTATTTGCTGTACATTTAAATGCACACTGACACACATGTTTGTACTCTGTAAGGATATCTATTATAGTATGTTCATTGTAACAAAAATCTGGAAGGATATCTATTATAGTATGGATATCTATTATAGTATGTTCATTGTAACAAAAATCTGGAAGCAATCTTTATGTCCATTAGTGAGGGAATAGTTGAATAAATTATGCATAACCATATTATAGAATATTTTGCAGCATTTAAAAAAGAATTATATAGTTTTATGAGGTTCTGGTAAGCTGGAGGAATAGTCAGAAAGACTGCACAGACCCTCTTCAACAAAGAAAAGAGGAACCAATTAACACAGATACAGAAGATAATCCTGGACCCCTGAGCCTTGAAAGGAAGGATATAGAAGTGGAATAAACTCCAACTAGCAGAAGAATTTGCATGAAAACACCAAAAAAGGAGACATCCAGAGCTGCGGTCTGGCAGAGATCCTAATGGCACAGACAGCTTGGATATTGCCAAGTGGTGGTAGGACCTAAGATTTAACCTAAAATTCAGTGCTGCTAGCCAGGGACTACATGGAGGACTGCTCTGATGGCCGGTGAATAAAAGCAGCAGCAGCGAAGAGGAAGGTGGGCTGAGCTGTGGATTTTTGCCTGTCTAGAGGGTGCAGCCATTTTGAATGTTTACAAGCTGTTTGACCATTTTGGATATTTAAAGCGACAGCATTCTTCCAGATTCCAGGGACTTAAGAACAGGCTCCACTTGCTGGGAACTGCAAGGACATACTGGACATGGATGACTGGAAAGGTGTGACATTCCTCTTGTTATTCTTCTACCCCACACCCTCTTGGTGAACAGAGGTGTGGCCATCCCTCACTCCCACCCACCCTCTGGGCTGGCAGGAATTCTATCCCACTCTGCTTGCTCAGATGGAGGATAGGTGTCCTGCTGTGATTTTTTCTTTTTTCTGTTTTTCAGTTTGTTTTTATCTGTTTCAAAACTATTATTATTATTATTATTACTTTTGTCCTTTTTACTATTATTCTTTATTCTTCCCCTCCCAGGTTCTAGTTTTCAGCTTTTCTTTTTTTCCCTGTTCCTGGTTGCAATTTTTTTTTTCCTTTCTCATAGTTAACCCCGTTCCTTGTTTTACTTTTATAGTTTTACCATATGTTTCTTCATATTCTCCTTCTCTACCTTTTTTCTCTTATTGCCCTATCCCCAGATATTGCGTTTTTTTTTTTTTTTTTTCCTTTTTTTCTTTTTTTGGTTACTGTTCCTATGTGATGACATAGTGTGTTTTTTGTCCATTTGCCTTTACTTTTTTGATGGTTATTCAATTGTTGTTTTTCTCTAACTGAATGGAATACAGCAACAGTCCACATATGAAACAACTACACCCACATCACCTGCAGCTTCACTTACTGAGTGAGAGCCACCACTTCCTTCTCCACCAATGGGCCAATGATAAACAGCCACCAAGAAAAGCCTGACTCACCCTTGGCTTCTCTTCACAAACAGTTAACAGAGATATAAATACAATGACACTATGATGTCTCGGAGACAACAGACCATCACAGTCCACACAGAGAAGCAAGATAAAGTGGTAGAAACAAGGGAACAGGGTACAGACCCAGAACACATCCCTGAGGAAGAAGCAGCATTGGAACTCTCTGATAAGGAATTCAAAAAAGTTACATTTAGGTATTTTCAAAGGATTGAGAGACAGACCAAAGAAAACACAGAAAAAACCTTAGAAGAATTTTGGAAGAAAATACAAGTACAAAATGACAAAATAAATGAAAAATTAGAAATGATTCTAAATCTACAGACAGAAATCCAGAAGATTAATACTAAATTGTTAGAAATAGATAAGACATTGGAAGGACAAAGGGGTAGAATTGATGCAATGGAAGACAGAATTAATGAGATTGAAGACAAATACCTGAATACTTCTTTGGAAAGGGATCAATCAGAAAAAAAAATCAAAACAAA